GATGAAGAGTATTTGGTAATACTCGAAACAGCGTGTATGGTCAGCCCAAATTTCAATAAAAATTAATATTAAAATTTTGTGTTTGTTCCTTTATTTCTTTCTTTGACTATTTCGAAAAACCTCTAAAAGATATATTACATAAATAATAATTGTTTGAAATGAAGTATGTTTTCTTTAATCAAATAAATTGATCGTCCTGAAAAGGACGGTTGTTGTTCGAAAATTTCGAAAGAAATAGTGTTGTAAGATATAGTTTAAGCCTTCTTTTCTGTTTTCTTAGGCAAAAGTACAGCTTGGATGTTTGGTAATACACCACCTTGTGCGATTGTAACACCAGACAACAATTTGTTTAATTCTTCATCATTACGGATGGCCAATTGTAAATGACGGGGTATGATTCTTGTCTTCTTATTATCGCGTGCTGCATTGCCAGCCAATTCAAGAACTTCAGCTGCCAAATATTCCATAACAGCAGCTAAGTAGACGGGAGCGCCGGCACCAACGCGTTCAGCATAATTGCCTTTTCGCAGCAATCGATGAATGCGACCAACTGGAAATTGTAATCCAGCACGATTTGAGCGAGACTTTGCCTTGCCCTTAACTTTACCTCCTTTACCACGACAGAATTTTTCATCGTATTTGATTGTTAAAGTTGATCTACTGATCTAAGTTGCAAAACAGGCCAACACCAAAATTATTTACCTTTTCATCCCTAATGTGAAGACGAGACTTTCTTGAAATTTTCTGTTTTAAAAATACTTAAATTCTGAGTGAGGGTAGTTCAAATTTGAAAATTCATAAAATTGAAAATTTGAAATTTCACATTTGAAATCATGCCACCAAAAACTAGCGGAAAAGCGGTCAAGAAGGATGGAAAGGCTCAGAAGAATATAACTAAGAACGATAAGAAGAAGAAGCGCAGGAGGAAGGAAAGTTATGCTATTTACATTTATAAAGTATTGAAGCAAGTTCATCCTGATACTGGTATTTCATCCAAGGCTATGAGCATCATGAACAGCTTTGTGAATGATATATTCGAGCGCATTGCTGCTGAAGCTTCACGTTTGGCCCACTATAACAAACGATCCACAATTACTAGTCGGGAAATTCAGACTGCAGTTCGCCTTTTACTTCCTGGAGAATTGGCTAAGCACGCAGTTAGTGAAGGTACTAAAGCCGTCACTAAGTATACCAGTTCCAAGTAAATTTCTTTGTATTGAACAATCAACATTAACTCCAACGGTCCTTTTCAGGGCCACAAAAATATTTAATTAAAGTCGATAATTGATCTTAAAATTATTAGTATAGACTTCACAAATAAAGAGCATTCCTAAAACGATTGAAATAGTAAACTGCATTGAGTACTTGTATCGGAACAAAAAATATCATCAAAACCAAAAAATTAGAGAACTTAGTTCACTCTGATTATAGCATAGTTATTAGGTTTCAATTAAAATACAGAGAGTCACAATTCTCAAAGAAAAATTAACAATATGGTATATTCAAAAAAAACCTTACCTAATAATTTATTTAGAAATAATGATGCCGAGGTATATGGTGTCATCACTGACCTATAACTATATATGTTAAACAAAATTGCAGTTTTTATCTATTGTCAGATAATAGAAATCGGATTTGGTTTCGTTATTATTAAGAATTGTTCTGACAGAGTTTATAATAGTTTAACAGAAGATCATCAAATTAGAACAGAGTATTTGTAAAATATTTGAGTTTTTAAATGTTTTGACAACTTTGACAAGACATCGTTAACAAATGAAAAGCTTTCCATTTCCAAATTTGATTCTAAATCGACAGGATTCGAAATATGAAAAATAAAGCCGTTTGAATTACTTACTTAAACCTCATCATCAAATTAGCACATTTACTCTTCTTCATGTATGCCTATAACTTTATATTATCCATGGTATTTGTGTTTTTTTTTTGGATGTAGCTCTTTAAACTATTAGATAGCTTCTCAAGTCAGTATATGCTGTTTCTGTTCTCACATTTACGTAATATTTCAAAATTTTTTTTATTATAATCTATTTATCTATTAGATGAAATAAATTCAAAACTTTGTACTGTGTCTACTGGTCGATCTTAATCGAAAGCCACAGCGTGAAAAGTGAAACTTCATCTCTTTATAGTACTAAGAATTTAATACAAGTCCTTCAATTGTTATATTAAGTTAATAATTTGAACAAGCAACAAAGCAAAATAACTACTAAATTTCAATAACATGGGCGATCTTATGCCCAAACTCCACTTGGTCCCAAGTAATTACCCGTTATGATCTTATGGTTAGTACTAGTAACCAGGTGTGAAATTTAAATACAGTGTTACAAACATATATAAATACTATAAACGAAAAGTTAAATTACAAAGAATTTCGATTGCTTTTATTCATTTCGTCTGAGTATTATCAATTTGAATATGACTATTAACTATCTCTTTTCTTTAATTAATTTTGGTCCTGAAAAGGACCGATTTTTAAAAATTTTTTTAAAAGTGCTTCTTAAGCACGTTCTCCACGAATACGTCTCGCCAATTGAATATCTTTTGGCATAATGGTTACGCGTTTAGCATGAATAGCGCATAAGTTAGTGTCTTCAAAAAGTCCCACCAAGTATGCTTCGCTAGCTTCTTGCAGAGCCATTACAGCAGAACTCTGGAAACGTAAATCAGTTTTGAAATCCTGTGCAATTTCACGGACTAAACGCTGGAATGGCAGTTTGCGAATTAAGAGCTCTGTACTCTTTTGGTAGCGACGAATTTCACGCAAAGCTACAGTTCCCGGACGATAACGATGTGGTTTTTTTACACCGCCAGTTGCGGGCGCACTTTTGCGTGCGGCCTTAGTAGCCAATTGTTTACGTGGTGCCTTACCACCAGTCGATTTACGAGCAGTTTGCTTTGTACGAGCCATAATTAAACAAATTGTTAAATAAAATTTAATTTAACGAAAAAATGTTGAGAGAGTAAATTTCAAAACAAACTCTTATGATCCATCTCAACTGTTCACATGTTCAAACAGTCATTGTCCTTCATATCCTTCATATCCTTTACATTGTTTATTTCTACCCTAAATTATTTGAGTGCCTTTGAGTAATTTGTTGTATTTAAGCATTGTCACTCATATCTTTTGTATTGTTCATTTTTTCTATAAATACTGTGCGTATCTAGTGTGGAATTTATTTACTGTTTAAGTCTGAATAGACAAGTATTATCTGTACTAAAATTATAAACTCAAAATGACTGGTCGTGGTAAAGGTGGTAAAGGTTTGGGAAAAGGTGGTGCTAAGCGTCATCGCAAAGTTCTTCGTGATAACATCCAAGGTATCACGAAACCAGCTATTAGACGTTTGGCTCGCCGTGGTGGAGTTAAGCGTATTTCTGGTTTGATTTACGAAGAAACTCGTGGTGTATTGAAGGTATTTCTGGAAAATGTGATCCGTGATGCAGTTACATATACAGAACATGCCAAAAGGAAGACTGTTACAGCTATGGATGTTGTATATGCTTTGAAAAGACAAGGTCGCACCCTCTACGGTTTCGGAGGTTAAGTTAATAACATTCAACTAACAATGCAATAACAATATATATTGCCCAATGGTCCTTTTCAGGACCCAAATATTTTTATTATTTGAGATAAATAATTCATTTGAACACATACTCGACAGTAATTTATAGAAATATTTGTATTGACTGTAAAGATTAAGATTTTAAGACAAAAATAAACTGAAGTTTAATTTAAGTAAGAGGCTTTGGAAATTTTTCTCACTTTGATTTTCAAAAAACATGTTTTAATGTAGAAATTCAAAGTTGTTTTTTTTTTGACAAGCTGGTATTAGATATAGAAATGTCTGAGAATATTTCAAGATTTGATATTTCTCAATAAAGAAGAAGTAAATATAACAAAGATGTATGTAACATTTCGGTTCTTAGAAAAGTTTACAATGCATAGAGAACTTAATTGTTAGCTCCAATAATTATACAAATAATTGTTTAAGTTTTTTGTCTATACTATCATTCTCAATGTGAATTTACATGGCAACATGGCCTGAAACAATATTGAAAACCAATATCTCATAATGAAATTCTATTTATACTCGTAACACTTAGTATTTAAATGTGTACCTGAATTGAATAAATCTATAAAAAAATATATATCAGTTTCCTTCAGTTTCCTACCACACAGAAAATAAGTTCCAAAGAGAGAAAGATATTTTTTTAATAACACAGATGCTTTTAAAATTATATCTTTCGTTTGGTAGCAGTTAAAATTATGGCGGGAAAATTTCTACCTACTGGTATGTGAACTGAAATGTTTAGGGGTTGCATTATTATAGCATTCATTTTGTATTAAAAAAAAAGTAACTGGCAAAATTGCCAGTACAGTTCACACGAAAACCAAGGACATTCAAGAACTATATTTACAATGCATACATATACTTCCAAGCCGAATGAGTGTGAGTATATGAGTGTGAGTGTGAGTAAAATTGAGTAAGAAACTATAAGCCGAAATGAAATGAAGATGGAACGTGAGTAATTTTGTTATCTGCATTTACGCGCCAAAATATATGAGATAAAATCCATGTTTGAGTAAAATTTAATAGAATTGCATACAACCTAAGACCACTGATGAAGAGTATTTGGTAATACTCGAAACAGCGTTGTATGGTCAGCCAAATTTCAATAAAAATTAATATAAAAATTTTGTGTTTGTCCTTTATTTCTTTCTTTGCTATTCGAAAAACGCTCTAAAAGAAATTTTTATATAAATAATAATTGTTTGAAATGAAGTATGTTTTCTTTAATTAAATAAATTGATCGTCCTGAAAAGGACGGTTGTTGTTCGAAAATTTCGAAAGAAATAGTGTTGTAAGATATAGTTTAAGCCTTCTTTTCTGTTTTCTTAGGCAAAAGTACAGCTTGGATGTTTGGTAATACACCACCTTGTGCGATTGTAACACCAGACAACAATTTGTTTAATTCTTCGTCATTACGGATGGCCAATTGTAAATGACGGGGTATGATTCTTGTCTTCTTATTATCGCGTGCTGCATTGCCAGCCAATTCAAGAACTTCAGCTGCCAAATATTCCATTACAGCAGCTAAGTAGACGGGAGCGCCGGCACCAACGCGTTCAGCATAGTTGCCTTTACGCAACAATCGATGAATACGACCAACTGGAAATTGTAATCCAGCACGATTTGAGCGAGACTTTGCCTTGCCCTTAACTTTACCTCCTTTACCACGACCAGACATATTTCAATAGTATTTGATTGTTAAGTTGATCTACGTGATCTAAGTTGAAAACAGGCAAACACCAAGAATTTATACCTTTTTCATCCCCTAATGTGAAGAGAGAATTTCTTGAAATTTCTGTTTTAAAAATACTTAAATTCTGAGCGAGGGTAGTTCAAATTTGAGAATTCGAAAAATTGAAAATTTGAAAATTTACATTTGAAATCATGCCACCAAAAACTAGCGGAAAAGCGGTCAAGAAGGACGGAAAGGCTCAGAAGAATATAACTAAGAACGATAAGAAGAAGAAGCGCAGGAGGAAGGAAAGTTATGCTATTTACATTTATAAAGTATTGAAGCAAGTTCATCCTGATACTGGTATTTCATCCAAGGCTATGAGCATCATGAACAGCTTTGTGAATGATATATTCGAACGCATTGCTGCTGAAGCTTCACGTTTGGC